AATGAATGTATTTCTAAACATAGTTTATCCTAAAATATTCATTCTTTAAGCATTTTGGTATACTTTTGAGCCAAGAACTATATCACAAAATTAGGAGGAATTCACAATCCAAAGAATACTACATATGTTCTATAATTCTATGATTCTATGTTCTGATCTGTGTATTAATTTGGGAGGTGCAAATGAAGCTCATTTGCTTTTTTAAAAAATCATCCTTCACTGCTGCTTTAAGGAAGGCACAAGAATACCACATGGTGCTATCTCCCAGAGTAAAAATCAGAACGAGTCTGCTGTCAAACCCTTCTTTCCCATGCTGAGACTTCTTGGGTAACAGCAGAACAAGCAAGAATCCAAGTCTGGAAAAAGGTTTTTCGGTTTTTCCTGCCTGAGAGAGAAATGGGATGGAGCAACCCAGCTCTGCCCGGCTAGCATCACATCAGGATGCCAAAGATTTATTGTGGCATAAGTTATTGCTTGTGCTACAACTGACAAAATATTGAACAAATTAATATATTTTGACTTACTTAAACCTCATATAGCTAGCAAACTCATTTTGCTTTGGGGATTTCTGTATTTTTAAAAAATGTAAATCAGCATTGTTTCAAACATCTATTTAGTCACTAATTTCAATTTTGAAGCAGTTACAGGGATTTTCAGTGGAAATTCTCTCCAGTCTTTCTATTGCTATAAAAAGTTTTTACGAATGGAGACTAAATTTCATATTACAGAGAGATCTTTAAAGGGCAGAGGAAACTTCAGAGCTGAATCTTCTGGGAACTAGAAAGTCATATTCATTTCCATTCTAGAGTAAACAATACTTGATTCTCACTAATTTAGCAACTGTACTATGTATGGAACCTGATCCAAAGTTTATTGAAACCTACAACAGCTTTTCAGTCTCAGTAAGCACAGGATCAGACAGACCCAATGCTAAATAAAAATAACATAATTTTAGAGATAAGCAAAATCTCCCCACCTCAGTTTGGAATGGGCTTGGAGGAAACTCATGCATTTTTCTGAGAGGTGAACTAAAATTTCAGAAAATTTGGAACATTCCACTCTTTGACCATAGGAGCCAACTCCTAGGGGCCAAGGACGCTTTGCCCCCCCCCATACAATATTTGAGGAGTCAAGCAGCCCCCAAAGTTGATGGACATTGCCATTTAAATGGGGTGTGTGCTGCACACCTTGTGGTCGACTATGTGGGGCAGGGCTTACCTGGGCCTCCCCAATATTTTATTCAAGTTGGCACCCTTGTCTTCAACTGTCCTTTTGTAGCTGAACATCCCCCATTTCCTGGTCTTGGAAAATCACTATCTCTAATTTTAGCTTTTGGAGTTGCCTTGTTTTTTGTTAATATGTATAGTTGCTATTCAAAGTTCAGCCCCCTTCCCAGGTCCCTAGCAATTAAATCTCTCAGAAGGGAGAGACGCATCTTGCTTTTAGGCACACATACAAGACAATGCACACTCTTCAATACAACAACACACAGCACACAGCCTGCTGTTCCATACACAGTGGCTGCTGACGTTAGATGTTTCAGCATCATGTCATGGTGATAGGTGATGTCTCTGGAATGAGAACAATTGTGTCCCTATTTTTGTCTGTAGGATGCTGTTTAGGATGCCACCCCGTCAGCATGTCCAGCTTTCCATGCAGGTGCTCTCCCTCTCTGATAGGTGCCCCTTCTCCCTTCCTTTGGCCTAAAACTTCCATTACTAGCAACGGAGTAGAGAGAGCACAGCAAGGAGAGCTGTTACCTGGCTCTTTATTAGGCATGAAAGCATTGCCAGCAGGAGGTGCCCTGGGAATTGTAGTTTATCTGTGCTTCTGGACCTTTCGCAAAGGAGCTCAAAGTCACAGCAAATTGTATTTCCCAAGTCTCTTAATAATAATAATAATAATAATAATAATAATAATTATTATTATTATTATTATTTATTTATTTATTTATTTATTTATTTATTTATTTATACCCCGCCCTCCCCAGCTAAGGCTGGGCTCAAAGCGGCTTACAAGCAATAATAAAAACAAGAAGAATGATTACAACTTAAAAACAAAAATAAAATACAACATTAAAATAATGGAACATTAAAATATTAAAATGTAGCCTCGTTGCAGGAGGAGAAGGAAAAGAAAAAGAAAGAGAGGGAGGCAGGGAATCAAATTGGCTCCAAGCCAAAGGCCAGGTGGAACAACTCTGTCTTACAGGCCCTGTGGAAAGAAATCCGATCCTGCAGGGCCCTGGTCTCACGAGACAGAGCGTTCCACCAGGCTGGAGCCAGTGTTGAAAAGGCCCTGGCTCTGGTTGAAGCCAATCTAACTTCCTTAGGGCCTGGGACCACTAGGGTGTTGTTATTTATGGACCTTGAGGCTCTCCGTGGGGCATACCAGGAGAGGCGGTCCCGTAGGTACGAGGGTCCTAGGCCGTGAAGGGCTTTAAAGGTCAAAAGCAGCACCTTAAATCTGACCCTGTACTCCACCGGGAGCCAGTGCAGCTTGAAAAGCACTGGGTGAATATGCTCCCATGGCAGAGACCCCATGAGGAGCTTCGCTGCAGCATTCTGCACCCGCTGGAGTTTCTGGGACAGCTTCAAGGGCAGCCCCGCGTAGAGCGAATTACAGTAGTCAAGCCTGGAGATGAACCGTCGCATGGATCACTGTGACCAGGTCGGGGCGGGAAAGGTAAGGGACCAACTGCTTGATGCGGCGAAGGTGGAAAAATGTCGCCTTGGCTGTTGCTGTAACTTGCGCCTCCATGGAAAGGGAGGCGTCAAGGATTACACCCAAACTCTTAACGGAAGGCAATGGCACTAATCGGGCCCCCGCAAGAGAAGGGAGTTGGTCCCTCATCCCCATGCCATCCCGACCTAGCCATAGGACCTCTGTCTTTGAAGGATTTAGTTTCAATCGGCTCCCACGAAACCATCTAGCCACAGCTTCCAAGCATCTGGTCAGTGTGTTCGGGGCCGAGTCGGTGTGGCCATCCATCAGCAGATAGAGCTGAGTGTCATCAGCATATTGGTGACAGCCCAGCCCAAAGCTCCGGATAATCTGGGCAAGGGGGCGCATAAAGATGTTAAAAAGCATCGGGGAGAGAATTGCGCCCTGCGGCACTCCACACACCAAGGAGTGGCGCGACGACATTTCCCTCCCTAGTGCCACCCTCTGTCCCCGACTAGAGACAAAAGAGCACAACCAGTTACGGGCTATGCCCTGTATCCCCACGTCTGCGAGGCAGTGGTCCAGAAGATCATGATCAACCATATCAAAGGCTGCTGACAAATCTAAAAGGATCAGCAGTCCTGACCCGCCTCGATCCAGTTGTCTACGGATATCATCTGTTAGGGCAACCAGAGCCGTCTCCGTCCCAAAACCAGGACGGAAACCGGACTGAAATGGATCTAATGCCGATGTTTCCTCCAGAAACCTACCAAGCTGTTCAGCAACCGCTCTCTCAATTACCTTACCCAGGTATGGAAGATTTGAAACTGGGCGGTAATTGGATAGGTCTAAGGGATCTAATGAAGTTTTCTTTAAGAGTGGACACACCACTGCTTCCTTCAGTTCCCCTGGGAATGTCCCCGTGTCAAGGGACAAATTGATAAATTCAACCAGGGGGGTCCGCGCAACATCTGGACACTCCCTAATCAGCCAAGACGGGCACGGATCAAGGAGGCAGGTGGTGGGCCTACTAACTTGGAGGAATCTATCCACATCAGTAGGGAGTATCCGATCAAAATGGTCCAACACTGGACCTGAAGTCAGTCGAGGGGCCTCCAGTTCAGTCACTGTATCTAAATTGGCAGGGAGGTCACGGGGGAGCAACAGGACTTTCTCCGCAAAAAAGCTCATGAATGCCTCACAGCTGTGGATCGAATTTGTGCTTAAATTATGCTGGGAACTTTTTGCTGGCAAGGCTTTGGGGCAGGCCTCCCCATCACTGCTGCTGGAAGACATATTGTAGAAAAAGAAGAAAGGGAGGGAATGGCCCAGGCTTATTTACAGGTGAAATTAAAATTCAAGAGGATTTTGGTTTGGATTGCTAAAGCCTTGTTGTTTTTTAACTAGGGGGCTTCATTTACAAACATCCAACCTAATCCTGGAACTAGGCAACATCATATTAAAATGCTTCCTGCAAGAGCCCCGGCAGCTGCTTCACTATCAAGACTAGAATCTCAGAATCCTTTGATGCTTCCTTGAGAGAGAACTCAGGTAAATATGCTGAGGACTTGGCCGCACAGCTAAGATGAAACATATTCTTTTTCTAAATACCATTAACTTTAAAGTGAACTTCATTTGCCTCTATTCCACAACAGAAATTCCTTCATGTTTCTGTAAAGGTAAAGGTAAAGGGACCCCTGACCATTAGGTCCAGTCGTGACCGACTTTGGGGTTGCGGCGCTCATCTCGCTTTATTGGCCGAGGGAGCCGGCGTACAGCTTCCGGTTCATGTGGCCAGCATGACTAAGCCGCTTCTGGGGAACCAGAGCAGCACACGGAAACACTGTTTACCTTCCCATCGAAGTGCTGCCTATTTATCTACTTGCACTTTGATGTACTTTTGAACTGCTAGGTGGGCAGGAGCTGGGACCGAACAATGAGAGCTCACCCCATTGCAGGGATTCGAACCGCCGACCTTCAGATCAGCAAGTCCTAGGCTCTGTGGTTTAACCCACAGCGCCACCCGTGTCCCTTCATGCTTCTGTACTACCACCCATTTGTTGGTACCAACAAAATTAGAACTATTTTGAAATATTTCTTTCCAAAATTCAGATATCATAAAAACAAGTAGTTTGGGTGGGGCATGTGTGCTTTGTACCCTAGAATGGCAACGTAGTCTGAATAAATACAGAATTTTGCAAACCAGCATTTATCTTACAAATGAAAGGCTGAGCATGATTTGTTTATAAAATAATAATATTTTTGTGTGGAAACATTTTCAAATTGGGACTTTATATTTGTTGATAGAATAAATGCATAATAATAAAATGATGTACCTCTTCCGCTTCTGCCAACGAATCTCAGGTCATTAAAGCGTGCCACTTGATTCTTCATTACGGCAGACGCATTCCTCAGCTCTGCAGAATAATTTTCATCATTCCCAGCCATGACTGTGACCACTGTGCCATCAGGGACTTCTCCTAAAGCCACCACCTATGGCGATAAAGACACAATAGCTTCAATCTCAAACCCACCTATGAATTTTGAGATGAATTGGGACATGCAAATCGTGCAAAGAGTAATCACAAACACCAGCGTTATCTCTCACTGTGGTGTGTGAGCCCCCCTTCCTTGTGCTGAGGGTCAATGTCTATAGTGGGAAGCAAGCTCTATACACGTAGACTCCCTTCAACATGTGGAATCTGGCATCCACATCAAGGTGGAGGAAGCCCACATGCGTCCTGCACTCCCAATTACAGATCCCTCCAATGCATGGATGGTCAGAAACAGGGCCAACAGAGTTGCCTTGGCGGCAGCAGGACCAACCTGGGAAAGTTCTAGAACAGATATTAACCAGTCCATCCATGTGCATGGGGGGACGGGACTGATCACTAAGAACCAGCATGTCATGCCAGATCGACCTGTTTGCCTTCCTTTGACAGAGTTATTAGCCTTCAGGGAAATGCTCTTGACATTTTAACTTCAGGAAGGCTTTCAGCAAGGTCCACAATGGTAGTCTTGATGACAAGCTGGTAAAATATGGACCATTCATAAGTGCATTCTTAGCTGGTTGGCAAGCAATTCCAGGTATGTTAGCCACCGGTTCACATCAACCAGGAGAGAAGTAACAGGTGAGGTGCCACAGACCTGTCCCAGACCTGGTAATGGTAAGCATCTTTATAAATAATTTGGATGATGGAATGGAGGGGATGCTAATCAAATTTTCAGATGACACCATGCGCAGGATAGCAAATATATCGGAAGAAAGAAGAAACAGGACCCAAAAGGATTTTCACATGATTTTGAATTGGGCCAGAGCAAAATGAATTTCAACAGATATAAATGAAAAGCTCTGCATTTAGGCAGGAAGATTCAGATCCAAAAATAGAATGGGTGACTCCTGGCTCAAAAGCAGTGCATGTGAAAAAGATCTGGGGCTTTTAGTAGACCACAAGCTAAACATGAGTCAGCAGTGCAATGCAGCAGCAAAAAAGGTGTAATGCAATTCTAAGCTGCATCAACAGAGACCCAGTGTACAAATGGCAGAAAGCGAGGATGCCACTTCATTCTCCTTTGGTCAGACTTCAACAAGAACACTGTGTCCAGTTTAAGAAAGGACATTGACAGACTGGAATGTGCCCAAGTAAGGCAACCAAGGTGGCAAGGGCCCTAGAAAATAAGTCCTATGCGGAAAGTTTAAGAAGTTTGGTATCTTCAGTCTGGAGAAAAGATTATTAAGAGCCAATCGAAATAGCCATATTCAAATATTTGAAATGCTAGCACTTAGACAATGAGCCACTTTTAATTTCCAGTGCTCATGAGACAAGGACTTCAAGAGACAAGAACCAGTGAATGGGTTCAAATGACGTGGTGGGGATTGTTGTAGCTTTAAGAAATATGATTTATTCACTCATTTACACTTGAGTTTACGTGGAGTCCAAATCTTGCAACACAGTCATCTCTTGAGGGGCTTCCCTCCCCCCAGCAGTGCTGCACTCAAGGCCAAGGCATCTCTCCTAACCCTGCTGTTCCTATAAATTAAGCCTCTTTTATTCATTTGCCTTCTAATGGTCAGTTCTTTTGACACTCTTCACATGCTAAACGCTGATGCTCAGAAGGAGGTCCACACATTCCAATACACATGGATCTTGATTACATTCTCAGGAGTCTGGCACACAGTCTGTACACATAAACACTAATTAAACAACTCAAACCCGTTACATAATCCCCTTCTAATACGCATTGAGATTGTCTTACAACATATCCCAGTTATAACATACAAGTTCTAATTAAATCCTAATATTTACTAAACCTAAACATTTAGCACCATTGATCTATTACAATATATTCAATTTTAGATAGACATCAAGAGTGAGCCAGCAGTAAATCACACTGTTTAGTAGCAAAAGCACGATCTTCACAGACTTGGCTGAGTGTCAGGCCTAATGAGCACAGCAGCTCATCCCCAGCAGGTCTGACCCCATGAATCAGTTGCTGAGACTGAAAGTCCCCACCTCCCCACAACTGTCTAAGTCCCCTCCTCTGCAGGGCCTTTTCCAAGCAATCAGAAACTATGTCTGTGTGCAGCCTACCTATCCTCCACCCATTTCAGCCCTCTTCTAGTTCTGGGAGACAAGAGGGGAGGGGAGCTGGTTGCAGCAGGAGGGGGAGACACCTGTGACTCTTCATCTGGCCTGATTCATCTCTGCCTCTTGGCCTCCCTCCTCCAACCCACCTGCTTCAGCTTCAGCCTCTGATTCTGGACTTTTCTCTGCCACAGACTCTCCCAGCTCACTAAACCCGTTACTTCTTCAGCTTCCAACACCTCCTCCCAATCTTCTCCCTCTTCCACCTCTGACCGCTCATCAACATCCTACCACCCAGGCTCTTAGCCTTCTTCCTTTGGTGGGTCCCAAGCTGGTTCCTCCCACCATTCCTCTGCATCCAACAAGTCCATGACAATACTCTTATCACATGATTAAATAATTTTGATCTCCAATGAATACTTTTTAACACTCTAGAAATATGCTGATTCCCCCATCCCTAGTAGCTGATTAAAAGCAGACTACAATATCATTGCAAAGTTCACTGGGAAGCAAAAACCCAGATGACTCCAGTAGTGAATATTAACCTATAAATGTATCTGGAGGTGAATTTGTTTTCAGTTCTGCTTTGAGTTCAATTTATTCATGCCCGTGTCTGTGTTTTAGCCACACCACACACCTCTGAGAATCCATGATTCCAAGGCAAAACTCGCATTGGCATAAATGGATTCAATATTAAATATCCTAGAATCAACTCAGTTGAGGCAAAAAATAATTAACATGAAAGAAATCCACATTCGGCATAGAGGGAATCAGTGCACCTGTATCAACCCATATGTCAAATCAGTCATTAGTCTGAATGTTTATTTGCCAGAATAGAAACTGAAGACACAATCCGCTTACAGCTTCTCTTTACACTGGAGTTTGTCTGCAGGAAAGTTCCAGAAGGGTTGTGCCCATTATTGAAATAAGAAATAATCACAGTCAGGCAGCCTGAATCTAAGTGGGGAATGAAGTTGCAAGGGTGTAATCAAGGTCCAGTCTTTCTAAAGCCAAAGCAGCCTGCAGGGCACGTGTGCTAAAGGTGTCACCTTGCAAACCACCATGACCTGGGACAGTAGCAATGGCCAAACAAGCGTGCTAGTGCACAGCTACAAAGCTGCAGTCGTGCGACCTGGAGCTAAGCCATGGCTTGGCTTAGTGCTACATGGAGGGTTTGTCTCCCCCATTCAAACCACAAGCAGGAAGCAAAGAACAACCCCTGGTTACATTGTCGTTTGTTTGGAGCCCAGCTTTGCACGTAGTGCTTAGGCAAGCCGTGCCTTATCTCCCAGTACCAGAACAGCAACAGGAGCAAACTGACTGCATTTATTTAATTATTAAATTTATATATTGCCTTCCTCCCAAAGGAGTCCAGGACAGCAATTTCCTAACTGTGGCCCAGTGTGCTTGTTGAGTTATCATCAGCATTTCAGAACTTCAGAGGAGAATGCTGGAACAAGAAGCATCTAGGAACAAGAAGGAGGAGCCTGCTGACTCGGAGGAAACGCATAGGTCTGCTGCATTACAAAAAAGATTTGGGAGGGGAAATACTAAGGAGGGACCCCCCAAACAGGCTAATGGGATCTGAGCCTGCTCAGTGGGCAGGGAATGCCAATTGATTCTTGGGGGGAGGGCTGAAAAATGGGGTAGATGGAATGGCACATCCTGGGAAAGGGTCTGGCTGAACGAGAGTCTTCCATACCACAACGTTCTGCCGCAGGTCTCGATTGTGCACATTCGAATGTTTATGTAATTGTTCAGATTATTTTATGTAATTAAAATTATTTCCAGATTATTTTAATTGTTGCCTTGCTTTTATGTAATAAATTGAAGAAGTTTTTGTAACATATATTATGGAACTTATTTCTGTTTTTTCTTGTTCTTTTATCATTTTATATTGTTACAGGAAATTTGAGAGATGCATCCAGTGCTGGCATGAACAGAAGGAAGCCTTAAGCAAGGAAATTCACCATCTCCTACGCCCTAGAACATGTTCTGGAAGGGGCTGCCCTCCCCTTAAAGGAGCAGCTGCACAGCTTGGGGAACTTTGGGATCCATTTCTGTCACCGGAGCCATAAGGAGACTCAGGGGCACAGACTGCTTTGCATCAGCTGTGGCTGGTGGCCCAGCTGCAACCCCATCTCAACAGTGAGAGTCCAGCTTCTTTTCTGTTCTCCGGTAACCTGTAGGTTAGATTACTGCAATGCATTATACATGGGGCTGCGTCTGAAGACAATTCGGAAACTAGAGCGAGTGCAGAATTCAGCAGCCAGGTTATTGACTGGGACCAGAGGGTCTGTGCATGCTATACAGATTCTGGCCTCACTGCACTGGCTACTAATCAGTTTCCAGGCTCAATTCAAAGTCCTGGTTTGGTCCTATAAAGCTTTATGTGTGCATGTATTATGTGTGTCTTACACACACACACACACACACACACACACACACACACACGAAAAGGCAAGCCAAGAATGTGGAGGGGAAGCGTCATAGGCTCAGCTCTGCATAATGAAAATCACGCCAAAGCATGTGTTCAAAGGCAAGCACTTCCTAAACTTGAAGTGTGTTTGAAAGGAGGAGCCTGCAGTTAGTCAGTGGCAAGGGAGAGGCATTGGACATATGTCCACAGGTACTTTTCTTCTGATATTTCTGGACTCAGTTCTTGTACTGAAAAGAAATTCCTTGGCTGAGTCAAATTAAGCCATTATGAAAACAGCCAAAAAGAGATTGCCTAGAACAAGAAAGTCATAAAAAGGACCTTGATTGTGTGAAGATTTGTTGAAGGAAGGAAGAGGAGTGATTCTTGCATGGAAGGAACAGAATTGTCTGTTCTCTGGTTGTAGTTTGCTAGCAATGAAAGTAAATGCCATGGATAATTTCTAAACAACATAAAAAGAGCCTACTGGA